AGACTTCAGCGTTGAACACTGTTTATTAGTTAGTGACATCACTTGTTACTGTTACTAGCCGTGTGAAACACAACTCCAGTAACAGTACCAACCTCTAGTTACCAAATCTAAAATGCACTAGAAATCACTATTACTGGACTTGTACTGTTCCCTGGCGGAACACACCCTAATACTTGGGTGTCGTGGCCTCAACCCATGGGATGTTTTCTTTCGTGACGATTTCCTGGAATTATCGACACTCTCGCGTTTGCTGGTCTTTCCGAATTATCGACACGCTCGGGCTCGCGCTCTGCTTTATCTATACCCACGCCCTCCGAAAATTACCGACACTCATGCCCTCGCGACCTGTTTGATTCACAGGTACACCCGCAAAATTAGTTCCGCCAGTTCCGCTAGGAAACTTCGCGGTTGAAGCTTCGCTATTGGCGTTAGCAATCTCCCCTATAATTTCTGCTATAATCTCTGGTAACACCACTCTAAAATAAATCGTCGCGCCCTCCATCACGTGGGATAGGTACTAAAGATATCAGTCGCGCTAACCCCCCGAGGTAGACCTCTACGTAGATATCCATCCTCTTTGGTAAAACTTTTATTGAAGTAGTGTTAATTTTTTTCATTGTTTCCGACGACAACTGGGCGTTTTATAAGTGATTTTTTGGAGAAATTAGAGTAATCGTCATGGAGAAACCACAGAAAATGCCCAAAGTGGCCAAGGTAACAGGATTTTGTTTGAACGAAAAATTTCAGAGGGCTCTTCTCAAATTTTTAAATTCTTTGAAGGATATGAGGTTAGATGGGACACTGGAACTACTGGAGAAACAATTCAAACCACTGATATCTACAATGCAATGTTGATTGTTTTGTCAATTTTACCCCGATGATTTGTAGCACCTTTCTTTTACGCTATATGTCTCAGCATATAATTTTTGTATTTTCAATAATTTCATTATCATAAATTTAGCATTTTTCTATGATTGAAACGCAGGGAACTTAAAATCTCGCTCTTTACCTGACCTAGCACTTTATTCGAAATTATCTATACTGAATTGGCTCATTTTAATTCTTTTCCACGTAGTATTTACTAATGGTTTAATTCTAGGTGAAAAATAAAGCACCAGCAGAAATCCAGATCACAGCGGAGCAGTTGCTTCGGGAGGCAAAAGAGCGAGACCTTGAGATTCTACCTCCACCACCAAAGCAAAAGATATCAGATCCCCACGAGCTTGCAGACTATCAGCAACGAAAGCGAAAAGCCTTTGAGGACAACATCAGAAAGAACCGCATGGTTCTCTCGAATTGGTTTAAATACGCCCACTGGGAAGAGACCCAAAAGCAGATCGATCGAGCACGATCGATTTACGAGCGTGCCCTAGACGTCGACCATAGAAATATAACACTATGGCTCAAGTACGCCGAGATGGAGATGAGAAATCGTCAGGTGAATCACGCACGAAACCTGTGGGATCGAGCTGTCACCTTTCTTCCTCGCGCCAATCAATTCTGGTACAAGTATACGTACATGGAGGAGATGCTGGAAAACATTGCTGGTGCACGACAGGTGTTCGAAAGGTTGTGATGAATTTTCTGAAAAATTTTAGTTCTACTTTAAATCAAATCAAATCAAACTAATCCATAATTTATTCGTTCTTATCATTAAATCTTTCTCGTTTATGTGTTCAAACATCTTGATTTTTCTACTTCAGATTTGTATCTTTTCAATTTTACTCTGGAACATTATATTTTTTCATTTTAGTAAATTTTATAGTGTGATAAATTCTAACTTTCTATATTATCAATTTTTCCAGGTGGATGGAGTGGGAGCCTGATGAACAGGCGTGGCAGACATACATCAATTTCGAGCTGAGGTACAAAGAGATCGACAGAGCGAGGAGCATCTACGAGAAATTTGTCACTGTCCACCCTGAGGTTAAGCACTGGATTAAGTATGCCAGGTTCGAGGAGTCCCATGGGTTCATTAATGGTGCCAGGAAGGTCTACGAGAGAGCTGTGTGGTTTTATGGGGACGAGCACATCGACGAGAAACTGTTCATAGCATTCGCTAAATTTGAGGAGGGCCAGAAGGAGCACGAGAGAACAAGAGTCATCTACAAGTACGCACTTGATCGACTTCCCAAGGACAAAACCCAGGAAATCTACAAAGCCTATACTATTCACGAGAAGAAGTACGGGGATCGGTCTGGCATTGAGGATGTTATCCTCAGCAAAAGGAAACACCAATACGAACAGGAGGTCAGGGAAAATCCATCTAACTACGACGCCTGGTTCGACTTTCTCAAGCTACTCGAGTCTGAGAACTCCTTGAATCATGAAGAGATCAGGGAGATCTATGAGAGAGCTATTGCCAATGTTCCACCCTCCAAGGACAAGGAGTTGTGGAGGAGGTACATCTATTTGTGGATTAATTATGCCATTTATGAGGAACTCGAAACTGAGAATTTGGAGAGGTGCAGAGAAGTATACAAAGCTTGCTTGGATTTGATTCCTCATAAACATTTTACATTCTCCAAGATCTGGTTGCTCTATGCCAAGTTCGAGATTCGACAAAAGCACCTAGGAGTTGCCAGGAAAAACCTGGGGATGGCACTTGGAATCTGTCCCAGGGATAAACTTTATAGGGGGTATATCGATTTAGAGATTCAACTAAGAGAATTTGACAGGTAATTAATGACTCAACTTATCATCAACATATAATTAATGAGAATTTAGTGTCAATAATGTTTCATTTAGGTGTAGAAAACTATACGAGAAATTCCTGGAATTCGGCCCCGAGAACTGCACGACCTGGATGAAATACGCAGAATTAGAAACATTGTTAGGGGATATCGATCGTGCTAGAGGGATTTATGAACTAGCAATATCTCAGCCAACTCTGGACATGCCTGAGGTTCTCTGGAAAGCGTACATAGACTTCGAGATATCTCAGGATGAACCCCAGAATGCAAGGAATTTGTTTGAGCAACTTTTGGAGAGAACTTCACACGTTAAAGTCTGGATGACGTACGCCAAGTTCGAGTTGGCGAATCCGGTCGTTGAGGAGGGGATTGACAGTGTTATTTTGGCCAGGAGGATCTTCGAGAGGGGTAGCGCGGCCCTAAGATCGAGTGGAGAGAAGCAGAGTAGAGCACTTCTCCTGGAAGCTTGGAAGACTTTCGAGGAAGAAAAAGGTGACGAGGAGACTCTCACCAAAATTCTTGAGAAAATGCCAAGGAGGGTCAAGAAGAGGAGACGAGTCATGGGAGAGGATGGTTCTGAGGACGGTTGGGAAGAAGTATATGACTTTATTTTCCCCGAGGACGAATCACAGAAACCCAATCTCAAAATTCTCGCTGCTGCTCTGCAGTGGCAGCTACAAATGGCTGAGGACTCCAAGGGAAACAACGAGGATAATTAAACTCAATCAAGGAAAATTTACACTCAATTTTTCATCGAGGGGGCTATTAATGGATTATTAAATTGAACAATAAAATATTTTGCCCACTTTTCCATTACGCAGTACAATGGTTTCGTAATTAATTGGGTAAATGAATTGTCCATGAATCAATGATTATATTATTTATTATTGGTAAGAAATATACAGCAGCGTATAAAATATTTTCACAATAAACGAATTCATTTGTACATAGAAATTTTTCTTTGTCCCATCTAATAATAAACAAATCCCCCAACATTCTTCGTTAGTGGGCGTCGAACAAGAAATTATGGCTCGTAAGTGCTTCGTAGATTGTATTGATAAATCTTGGCGGAAAATCAATTATTATCGACGTTTATTATTTGTAAGAAAAATACAGCAACATATAAAATATTTTTACAGTAAAACAATTCATTTATACATAAAAAATCTCCGTTGTCTTGTATTCTGCACAGACAATCGTTAGGTTTCGTAGAAAAACATACAAGAGCGAAAATTCCTTAGTCCCTGGCAGTTGCTGGGAAAATTCACTTGGAATGAATTCCTTGGACAAGATTATTCTCTTGACTAGTTATGTAATAAATTTCACAATGTAACAATTTATTTGTCTTACAAAATATGAAAGGAAAGGTCTTCACTTCATGGACTGCTTTTTCTTCTCATCACTCTCGACCCCAGACTCGAGATCTGTGCTCATGCACTTGGTGAGAATTGATGTTCTGTGATAATTCAATCTGGCCTTCTGATCTGATAACCGAAGTTTAATGGTCTCAACAAGATCCATGAAAAAATGAGGGTAACCGTCGTATCCGGGGAAGGCGTTGACGTCAATTATTGCGTATCGTCCGGTGTGATTTTCGATGACAACGTCGACTCCCACAAGAACAAGGCCAAACAGCTTCGTCGCTTTACTCACGATCTTCTTGAAAATTCCGTAGTTGGGCTTGACCGTCAGGGCTTCATCCTGTTTTGATATCACAGACCATTCGGAGGTCGATCCACTCTTCGAAACATCGTGAGAGCTGAAGAACAATGTGCCCAAGGTCTCGCAATCCTTCGGGTAGAAATTCTTAAGACTGGGACGCTCCACCACGTGGAAGTGATTACCAACTATGTACACTTTGTACAAAATTGCATTGTGATTTACGAAATTCTGCACTATGCAAGGGGGTTGGCAGTCTTTCACGCCCTCTTCGTTGAATATCACCATCATCTTTAAAAAAAAAAGAAACATTCCAGTAGGGAATCGATTAAGTCATAACAAGTCGAATTTTAGAGTTTTATAACTAACGGATTTATCTCCGAAAGGATTGATTTTAGGAGTAAATATATAAAGACTGTGTTTGTCAGAAATTTTATCACGAAAAAGTCCTTTGAGGTTTTCACCTTGTATTTACAGTTTCCAGAGTAAATTATTAACACAAATGACGATTTCTAAATTCTACTGAATTGGTAGGCAATACTCCTTAATATTGTTCAAATCCCTATTTTATTTACAGTTTTCTTATGATGGAAACGTGAAAGGTAAATTTCAGTTCAAGATTTTCGAAAATCCAAACTACATCCATTAACTTACCAAATAAAAATTGTAGATGAAGGGCGACTTGAGAAAATGTAATGTAATGATGTTGATTAACAGGTAAATAACATAGGAGGATGAATTTCCAGAATTACCTGGTGAGCATTGCTAGAGCCTTGGGCCAACAATGGTTTACACATGAATGGAAACTTGATATTGTGCCGATGGAGTTCAGTGAGGTTGTCCGACACGTTCCGCGATTTTAATTCAATAGAATTGGGAACAAAAACATCTGAAAATGGATCAAGGTTCAATAGAATAAAAAATCAAGAGAAAGCTGTACTCGAAAATAAATGATGAATTATTATAGTACATTTCGACGCTAGGTGGTGAGGAACTTTTCTAATATGAGGTGAATATGAGGTCTTATTGCGTTTTTAACTCGCCTTTAGCTCGTTCTGTAATTTCATGAGGTAGAAAAGTTCTTCACGGCCATCTCGAACAATATTTTTTGTTATTCAGTCCGTAGGCAGCGTTTTACGACCACGCAACAGTGGTGAAGCGTTGCTTCACGAACTGAGTGACAAAAAATTACAATTGAATATAGGGCGCGGATAATGTCGTAAAGAACTTATTAAAAAAAAATTAATTGCCATTCATCATAAGTTTCTGATTGTAAAAAACAATACAATTTATCAAAATTTTATTATAATATAAAAGTTATTCTATAGAAATCAATATTGAAATATCAATTATGAATAACGAAATTTTATTTTCTGGGGATAATGAGAAACTTTATGATTGTTTTCCCAAATTACATTCATTAACACTTCCCACTTGATAGAAAAACATATTTGTGAAATACTTCATAAGTACGAGAAAAATTCATGTGAAACCAATCAAATTTCCAGGACCAGCACTGAAATTTTTCCTATCGAGCACTTTGCATCCTTTTTTGGGTGCACTCAATTTTTATCTGACAATAAAGCGATTTTCACTGTTTCATGAAATAAGTTAGAGGAGACTTTGTCTCTCAAACAATGAATTACCATTACACTGCATCTCCCTGAGTATTTCATAAGAGTTTTGACGATCTCGCACTTTCTTGACACTCTCCAGTGGATCCACCACGATCATTTTTGGATTTCTACGAATGTAGCTCTCAACTCTATTTACAACAGCTCTGGCCTGCACATAAAAATGATAAGACCCCTGCTGACGCTCTTAAATCAATCAAAAACCTAAAGTAACGATGGGTTTTAGAGAATCGACCTAAAAAAAACTTGAGTTTCAGAATAAACACGATTTAGCAAATAAACTCTCGAACATTATCTCTAAATCAAAAAGTAACAGCAAAGTTGGTAAGTAGAATTCCACTTCGCTGAGTACTCCTGATAAAATTTTCGCTATCTCTCTTCATTCTGAGATATTCTTGAAAAACATAGCTATTAGTAAAATGTACTAATTTTGTAATTTTTCCCTAGGGATTTGCCTAACGTTTATAACTGAAGTTTATAATCGCTAGAAACTAATTCTTTTCATACTTGAGAATCTCCAGCCTCAGCATGAGCCAGAGTATCTGTTAGTTTATGGAGAAAAACGTCGAATGGTCCCTGAGAGTCAAGACTGAAGTTGAGATTCACCTGAAAAAAAAACAAGAAAAATAACCTCGTCACAGTCCCAAAAATTCAGAAAAAAATGCTCACCAATTTGAGGACAAATCCTTGCTTCGCACATACATTCTGGGACTCATTCCATTTTAATTTCGATCTCTTCTTCTCCGATAACCAGTATCCAATGACAATTCTCTCACCCGTCAGACACTTCTCCTCGCACATTTTACATCGACTGAATCACCAGCTGAACATTGCTCCAAAGTAATTAAAAGAAATCCAGCTAACTGTGTGTTTTATCACTGCGTCGAGAGAAACACATGTTAAATGGCCTCTTACCGACAACAGTGTAAACACACCAACTGCCTTTGACGTAGATCTCCGAGGCAGGTTATGTTTCTCATTATTCAAATTACTTTTTTCAAGGACCACTGGTTGGGCGGTCCAGTTGTTACGGAGGGTACACGTGATTGTTGTTGGTATTTTTGGCTTGATACTCGGATATATTCGTCAATACCTTTATCGCAATTACGCATACACTATTCATCGATTCAATGATTTTTTATGAGTTATATTAATTTATTAGATTTTTTTTTCATTGTCTATTTAAATTCAATTTATTCTAATTCATTTCCATACGTTCGTTTTTAAATAATAATTGTAGATAATTATTCATTGATAATTTACTGGTAAACAATTAGTTTAATAATCAGGTAAGGATTACTCGATAATTATTTAAAAAGCCATGTGTGCATCAACTGACCAATTCTTTAGTATAAAATAATTAATGAATACAATACTCACTATAAATCATTGCTATTGTAATTTTTAGATTAATAATTGAAGAGAAGTATGAAGAAGCAGTTCGATAGTTATTGGAACTTATCGCTTACTGGAATTTGTTAATTACTAATAATTGTTGTGGATTATTTATTTATTTATAATTGAGAGAGAAAAAGTCGAAATTTGAACAAGTGCGCATCAGATTCACGCGTTAATTCTGTTTTTCCATCTCAAGTATATTTGGAAAACTAACATACTGATGTTAATTATGACTGATAAATGAGTATTTTTATGCAATTGGTGATAGTCTGTAGACTCGTACTCAGCCATTATGACCTCGGGACTCAAAACCTTGAAATAAATAACTCATTCTCATTGGATTGAATTTTTACGCGTTATTTCACGAGGTGTACTCACTCGAAATCTCGTCAATATCGGTATCCCAGAGTTCGCCTGGGCTTTGATCTGGAGCCTGTACATAAATATTTATGAATCATTCAATTTTATTCCCGTATTCTAAAATAGAAAAGTATTTATCAATGCTGTTCCAAAATTAGATAATAGCCACAACCATTGGATATTCCAGTTGTTCAAGAATATTCGTCAGGAAAAATTCGATTATCAGGCAAACAAAATTCTATTGCAGCAACATAAAATCGAGAAAACAGGTTTTTGTTCGTTGCTTACAATCCTATCCATTCCAAGAGTATTAGTTTCCAAATTAGTCCATTAAATCGTTATGCCACAGTTCTCTAACTGCCTTTAGCTAGGAAAATCGTTGAATTTTCAATATTTTATTTTCCATCAGGACTTTTTTTTGTTTCTGGAATAATTCCCAGCACTCAACATTCAATAAACTGGTGCAGTTCTCTATAATTGTCTGTCTTATGAAGTCTCACCTCAATGCTCCTCTCCTGACGAGACGTCAAACGAACGCACATTTTCCGGGCAACCCCAGATCCCCTCAGACTCGACGTGACGACTTCCCCGAGAGAATATCGGCCTTCACTCATAATGAAAAGTTCTCCCTCAGAATAAGACTCTGCAGAATTTCCACGAGTGACTCCGTCAGACTGAAGAGATACAGAAGGCGTAGAGGTGACTTCTCTGTGACTGGTACCACATCTGGAGAAGTCCTTCGCCTCAAAAGATACAATATTCTCTCCACACCGTCCAGAGGACCTTCTGGAGCTACCCCTACTTCCAGAGGTCGTCCCTTTCTCATTTCTCTTCTCAGATCTCTCCAAATTCTCGAGACCTTCTGAAGACACCCTGGAGACATCATTCAAAGTCTCCTCACGACCTGAGAACAGGTCCCCTGGGTTTTCCTTATTCCTCATATACCCAGAAATCGCGACACACACCTCAAAATGCCTTTCGTTATGTTTATCCCCAGTAAATCCTACCGTTTCCGACATTTTCTCCTCAATCTCACCTATCCCCTCATTCTCTTCAATCCCAAAACGACAGCTTCTATTCGACTTTACCCCTGACCCTCCAGGATCATCTGATCTGTCACTCGAATAATTCGAAAGTAACGACGCAGTCTCGTCTATTCCACTGACCCCCCCTGATCCTATACGACTCTTATCCCCCCGAAATTCCTCTCCATCATACAATAATGGATTTCTCGTCATGGGTACAATTCCATCATTTAAATGAACGCAGACATTATCAGTGCCGGACAGAGCTGGAAATGAGACCGTTCTTGCCCCTTGATCCAAGCCTGATCTGACATTCAATACAGAGACTGTGTTATTCAGAGGCGTTGAGAAGATCGGTGGCTTCATCTGTGTCTCTGACTCCTCCACTTCGTAATTATTCTTCTCTATCACACCCTCCACAACTTCGAAATTGACATTGCTGTTGTTGCATAATTGCTGTAGAGACTCTGTCTTCGCCTTAGGATACAATTGGTCTAGAATCTCTGTTGTATTGATATTTGTAGATGACAATTGTTCTATTATCTCGGTCGTCTCCATCATTCCCTTCAACTTTCTGTCGATTCTACTGAGCAATCTGTCTACATTCTTGGTGTCAGGGTGCACTAGACTGATTATCGAAGAATTTTTCATCGTGTTGATAGAGGAGAGCCAGTTCTCGTCTTCGTACTGATAAAAAAAATAGTTCGAATTACTGTTCACATTTTCCATAAAACTACGAACAATTCGTTTATAAAAAAAAAAGGAAGAAACATGGTCTGTTACCCATCTATTCTTCTCTATATACCCCTACGTATAATGACAAAATAAATATATATTGTATATCATTTTATACATCTATTATTAGAATAAAAGAAAGTGCATGACACTTGATATTTTCATATTTTTGCTTCCAAATGGAAGTACTGCGATTGGTCCATTTTGCGATTTTCTAAGTTTGCCTGGAAATGATGTAGAACTGTCTAAAACGTGAGAATACAAGGTTTAAAGCCATTTGTGTCCGTGCGGATGGTCACATGATAATTAACGTTTAGGAAACGGGAAGAATTAAGCGGGTAAATTGTTCATAGGCCCTAATATGGACTTTATCTGTGCTAAATCGCAGCCCGATCGGTTGAGTAGTTTTCGAGATATCGGTGATTATTTCTGAGATGTTTTGTGGAAATATCAATGTGCTCTACATTGATGAGTCGGAATATATACAGGGTGTCCGAGATAAAATTGTACACCCAAATAACTATTGAATGTGGGTAGTAATCGAAAAATCTTTCAAATAGAAGTTGTAGGGCTCCAAGTGGGAAAAATAATGAGATATGTTTTGAGCATTTAAGTCTTCATGTTTTTATGCTACAAGCATAAGTTCATTTTTTTCATATGGGATCAAAAATTTTCTTGTAACAAAAGTTGTTGTACTCGATGAGATGAATCTAATGATGTCACACATAATGTGTTTTTTATGCTTTCTGAGCTCAAAAATACTAAAAATGGAACTTGTCAACGATATTCCAAATTCAGACACGATAAACAGAAAAATAAAGGAGAAACAAAAAGGCGCCAATGGATTGTTCTACTAGAAAGACGTTACAACAAGTGCTCAATGTTCCCACCATTCACTTCAAGACACAACTCAAGTCGACGTCGGAAACTCTGCACAACATTTCGAAGCGCTTGTTGAGGAATGTTGGCAATGGCGCCTCTGATACGTGTTTTCATGTCTTCTGCCGTCGTTGGTTGATTTTTGTAGACTACATCTTTAATGTAGCCTCATAAATAAAAATCAAGTGGAGTTAGATCAGGTGATCGCGGAGGCCAAAGAACAGGACCACCTCTGCCGATCCAACGACGAGGAAACAGAACATTGAGATAATTCCTTACACAAAGTGCAAAATGCGGTGGCGCACCGTCTTGTTGGAACCACATTCTTAGTCTTGTGTCAAAGTGTACATGTTCCAATAAAACTGGGAGGTCATCATGTAAAAACTGTAAATAGCGTTGACCGGTGACTGTTCCGTTGATAAAATACGGCCCAATGACTTGCCCACCAACAATGCCACACCACACATTTACACTCCACTGATGCTGGTGGTTAATGTGCTGAGTCCAGTGAGGATTTTCCATAGACCAATAATGGGAATTATGACGGTTTAATGCGCCAGTACTTTTAAACGTGGCTTCATCACTGAAAAGGACATTTTGGAAAAATTCGGGACTCTCGTTCAAGATCCCTATGGCCCAGTGTCAAAAAGCAACACGATTCTGTCTATCTTGTGCAGACAGTGCTTGTGTCAATCTGACATGATATGGATGGTAACGGTTCGATTTCAAAATATCGTGAGCTGTGCTTCGTGGAATACCTGAATCTCTCTCAATTTCTCTTAAAGAGATGTGAGGGTTCATGTGAACCATGGTCAAAACGGTAAGCGTAGCAGGATTGTCAGGAATCATCCGTTGTTGTCGTTGTCGTCGTTGCAGAACTCTTCCTCTTCGACAATTTCTCTCGATAATCCGAATGCATGAAGCTGAGGGATGACGTAATCGGTTTCGGTACCGTTGTCGATACAATCGAGCGGCCGCGCGATATGCACCTCGGCATTCTCCCAAAACCAGTAGAATATCCACAACTTCATTTGCGGAATAAACCATGATACGCGAAATCACTCAAAAATAATCTGAACTCAATAATGACCCGATTCGTACTATCTAAGAAACAATAAACACTAAGGTACACCAGATAGCTCTGGTATTTACACTTTGGTGTTTACTGGTTCTTATTTGAAGATAACTTTCTGTTTATCGTGTCTGAATTTGGAAAATCGGTGACAAGTTCCATTTTTAGTATTTTTGAGCTCAGAAATTTTTTAACCATCGATTCCATCACTTGGAAATGCAAATGGGAAACGCTATACTCATAATCTAATTTTTTAATTTCTGTTATAATCGAATTTACCATAATAATTTCTCTGAAATGCCGATGTGCAGATTCTTCAATGTGATTTTGTGGAAGTGAATTTATCCTACATAGAAACTCCATAAAAGTACATCGTCTATTGGTGTTGATTTCGGTCGTAGATGAAGGAGAAATTTGTCCCTCCCCCCTGGTGTGTTTCATGGCTAGATGCACCTCATTCGACCCCTCCGTTTTATTTTGCTCGAGGTCAGGTCCCTCTGACCTCGACTGTGCATCGCGCTCATTCAACCTGGAGATTGGCAATGAGTCACGCAGGCCCATTTGCACACCAGTATCGATCAAACTCGTGTCTTCATCGATCCTGACTCGTTTGGTGCAGGCCTCGTGGCGCAGCTGAAACGTGCCAGTATTGGCTCGTGCGGGAATCCTCTCTGAGTGAATCGAGAGGGGAGACATCCTCATGAGACAGAGATCATTCCTTATCGTCACGTGAGGACCTCTTTGCACTTGGAAATTCAGGGGTGCAGCACGCTTGCTCGACGGCAGGACTCGAGTAGATGAATATTTCCTTGGGAAGGGTTTAGAGATCACCCACGGCTCCAGAGTCCGAGGGTAACTTGACGACGGTTGTGCAAGGGTACCATAAACGGGGGACCGTAGTTTTCTGCCGTTTGCCTCGTCAAATTTCATTGACACAAGCCACTTTATTTCCAATAACTCATCGCTCAGCTGCTGCATTTGCACCTCCCTGGGGGACAATTTCTTTTTAGGTTCAGAAGATTCAAGAAAATGTTAATTTAATACTAGTCGAGCGCGCTAGCTATTTTCCATATAATGGGTTCTAACAAGTTTAATTTTCATTCAAAAACTTCAATATTAGACATTTTTTCTATAATTCTGATATCCTTTTTACTATTTTTTTTTATTAGACACATATCTTCTAAAGTGTCAATAACTGAGAAAAATCATAATTTTTGCTTCCGAATGGAAGCATTGCAAACGTTTAATTTTTCGATTTTCTAATTTTGCCTGGAAATGCTGTAGAACTGTTTGAAACATAAAAATACGGAGTTTGGGGGCCATGTGTATGTGTGCGGATAGTTACATGGTGGTCAATTTTTAGGGAAGGAGAAGAAGGAGGAAGAAGCAGTTGACGAAGCCTAGTTGGCAGGGGACATTTAACCATTACTTTATGTGTTAGTTTTTTTTTTCATTTTCCATTTTTATCAATATAATTGGTAATAAGCGTCCAAATGGATCCATATACCTATTCCGACAACGATTCTTTCTAAAAACACGTTGATTGGTTCATTTTCAAAGATCGGAAAGCGCGTGCAACGAATTTTCTCGGAAAAGAGGAAAAGCGAATTTTTTCCATATTTCCCTTGAAACGAGTATATCTCTTTGATTAATCTAAATAAATTTCATTGAGTCGAATATTTTGAAAAAAAATGGAATCGGAAGATTCGTTTAGGAGATATTCAACTTTGTATGTAAAACAATTTTGTCGAATATTTTAAAAACGAGTCAACTGATTTTATTATTATTTTTTTTTAATTTTCGTTACATTGTGCCTTACCTAGATCAACTAAAGATTCAACCATCTTCAACCCATTTGAAGAACAATATGAAAAAATTTCCATTTTTCTGTTCTTCTGAAAAATTTGTTGCACGCCCTCTCTGATTTTCGAAAATCAACCCATCACCTTAAAATTCGGAATAATGTTCCATCTTATGATCACAATGTTTCCTATTGAAAGTGGGTTTCATTGGATAATTAGTTTAGTAGATATTGTCATTTTTCTTTTTTTTTTTTAAATCGTCACCGGAATAGCTACGGATTCACTGGGAAGCTCACTACCTACTGTATTTCTAGAAATGAAAAATGAGAAAAAAACGCATAAAGTAATGGTTAAATGTTTCTTGCCTTTTTACGCTCCGTCAACTGCTTGTTTAAATGTGACATACTGTAAAAACTGGGAATAATCTACGAAAATTCAATGAAAATTCAATGTAACAAAAATTCATCGTAAACTATTTACAATAACTGTTAATGCCTAAAAATGGTGAGTAAATATTCCGATCAAGGTCACTTCCAGGCATCCAAATCTGAGCACAAAGGTGATAATTTGAAAAAAAAAAAAGAAAATTCAGTTTTTACCTGAAAGTCATAAACAAATGAATATTGGCCGAAATAGAATAATTCATTGATCCACTTGACCCGAGTATAAGATATTACTACCAACTTGAACAGAAACCAAACAGATTTCATGGTGTTTTAAGAAAATAATTGAAAAATTACAAAAACATCATATGCCCAAATCTACATATTATCGCTTCAACATTTGTCCGAGTGGTATAGTATATCCGCACTCGTAGATTCTAAAGCCTCAATAATTGAAAAAACTATAATTTTTTGAGTGTAGCATAACGTAAAAAATGGAAATAATCTACAATAACTCGATGGACATTCAACGAAATTTTAATACACTTCAAAATAGTCTATATAAATATATGTGCAGAGCTTACATAGAACTTCGAAAAATCAAACCAAAGTGATTGTTTCCGACGAGACCTCAAAATTAAATTTTTGTCGAAAAATCTCATAAGCCAATAAAGAATAGTCAGAATTGGACAGATTAGATGTCGAAGCTCATTCCATAAGCATATTCAATGTATATTCATATTGATTGAAACTTATTCAATGAGCTTATGGACTCAATAATAGTTTAGTCTGACTACTTGTCGAAAATAATGATAAAAAATAATAAATTTACATACAAATTTACATTGTGGGGTAATTTGAAAAAAATAAGACCTCTTCAAAGTTTCCTGCTGGAAATTCAGTGAATATCTATTGAAAGCCAGAGAACCCTTCGCAGATAGTGAAATACTGGGCAAAAGTCCGTTTGTTTTTCTTCCCTTCACAAAACCGTAAATTACAGATGAATAAACATACTCAGATACAGTTTGGCTGATACCGACTCTTCTTCTCATCTCAGAAATTATCCTCTTGGTCTCCTGGACAAGCTTCTCCGCTTTCAGTATAACATCCAAAGTATCACAACCCACTGAGTGCCCCTGCGTCACTTCCAACATTATTCCCGAGTTATTTTTTAAATAATTCTCAAGATGTTTGAAATTCTCTCCACAGTCCGTTCTCTCCTGCTCCATTTTACCTCTGAAACCACAGAAATAAATGTTCGGCATAAACATTACACTCTCAGTTCCTTTCTGCGATAAAAAAAAACGAGGAGGAAAAAAAGAGAAACAATAACCCAAGAATGTTTTTTTGTACTTTATATACAATATATAAGCAGGAATGTTTATGTAAGTAATTATTTGTATGATAATAAAGGATCTCCACACTTGCATTCTGTATACATTTTCGGAAGATTTTGTTTTTTATTACGTGTAGGCATTGTCGGTGGAAGTCGACTTGACTCTTCAGTGAATTCGTCAGAAATATCACCGAAACTAAGAAATTAGCTATTTTTTTAAAACAACCTTTTTTGTAAGTCTCCATTATTTACCATGCTTTCCTTGCTTTCTCGGATCAAAATCCTATCTCTCCATCAGCCATAATGCTTTGTACTTATCGGACAATTTGTCAAATCAGTTCTCAATGATTTCTCAATGAAAGCTTCAACCTTTAAACTCACCGTGAAAGTTGAACAGTAAATATAATTCCGTTTTCAATAAATGAAAAATTCCGATAAATTATTGACTAAATTTCAGCATTTCCAGGGTTTTTCAGTAACATATGGACCTGCAAATTGAGAACTACCCGAACACTCAAGGAATGAACTGATTGGTTATTGAATAATTCGCTAACAATTCTATTTAACTTTGTCGATGTTAAACACTTCAAGTATTTTCACTTATAATCGCACAAGAGCATCAAAATTATCAGGTACTCCCCCCCAGGTTCGTTGCAAATAAATGAAGGAGTCAAGTTTTTCAGGTAAAAAAAATGACAAGCGCGACACGCGATTTAAATTTCTTGGAAAGCTTGATGATTTTATTTGTTTGCCGGGAACATTGAGTGAAATGCCAGATAATTTTGAAGCTTGTGTGGTATTTCGAGGGATTATTTTTCCGACCTAAATGTCAGCCAATAGAATTGCACCATGAGCCGAAACTCATAGTTAAGAAATAAGAATTTCATGTCTGTCAGTTTGTCGCGGAGTTAATTTGGCTGGATTATGTTTTGTTTGTCATAGTAGCAACTGCCAGAGGCAATTATCAAAAAATGATCAATATAATACCATGCAGATTGTGCCATGCAATTCTATTGAATTATTGGATTATAATATTTTATTGATATTTGAGTTCGAAAAATAATCAGTAAAATACCTAGGAGCCTCGTTGAATGGTGCAAGTCTATTAAAATTTGGATGAAAAAGGTAATCTGCAAAAATTATCGGGTGTATCCTGATAAATTAAAGGGTCAAGTTTTTCGGGTTAAAATGTTTACTAAAAAACGACAATCTTTTATATTTGTAGAGAAGATTGATGAAAATGCCTGAATAATTTCGGAGTTCCAGTGCTATTCAGAGGATTCCCTCCAAATCTTGGTCAATATAGAATTGCAGAAATCTTGAAATCTACTCATACTCATCATTAATCAAAACTTTTCAATTAGCACAAGGATTTGTCAATCCTTTGTTTTTTTTGGCCATAGGTAACATAAAAAATTACCAATGCAATTATAAACAATGTAGACTATAAAATTAGCCAATATTGCCAGATAGCGTTTTTTTTAAACGTTCTTTTTATTTTATACTTTAGACTTCGCTATAATATGATTGATTGCTGAGCACTTGAAATTAGAGTGTAATTTTCTAAGAGTATCCACGAGCCTGTTATGTGGCGTGGTTGACAGTTACCGGATACTGAAGAGTTTTGTATGGCGTGTTACGTCACGCTTGACCCCCGACAGTAACGTATGTCGTACCACACGCTGGTTATATCGATTCTTAAAGAGGATAGACAGCTGTTGCCATAACTCTCCAAATCCCATCGTCTAACCGAATCTAACAATCAATAACCCCTGACACCCCCCAGGAAAAATTATCGAAAAATGTTCCCAGAGCGTATCAGCAGTCAACCGGGGTCGTCCAAGTCAGAATACACCAAGAATGCACGTGAAAATCGATACTCGTCGCTTTAACGAGACCCGCCTACCTCACCGTCCAATTTCACAACTAGTTAAAGGGGATCGCGTCACGTATCTCCCCCATTTCGTTTCTCATTCTCACTTTCCATGTCACTTAATCACCTTGTCAGATTAATTTCGCACACTCTATTTTCACAGTGCAATTATATTCCTGGAAGGAACTACAATTATTATTATTTTTTTCATTAAGAATGCTAATGTCTGCTAATTTTTTTATTTTCCCTAAACTGCAGTTTTTGTTAGTTTCATTAATTATTATATTACCCTCTTTATTATTTTCTCAACATTTTTTCATGCACATGTGTTTACTTACGTTTATTTATTTTGTTAAAGCTAATTGTCATAAAAATTAACTGAATTAGTAATTTTTTTAATTGCTAATAAAATGAATTCATATTTTATGATTTTCATCAGAATTTTTCCATTAAATTCTACTTCTAATTTGAATGTCATTCGTAATGACGATACAATTAGCCCGAGCCTTTAAAAAATCGGCTTCACTGACTTAAAAAAGTATCCGTTCCTGGAAAAGAGGTGCCTCTGTTTATTATTAATGCCAGACACGTCTCCCACAAATGATCGATCCTCATTAAGGATGAGAGTTAATAATGCCACTGACCTCCAATGACTTGGGCCCCAGCTGTCCTCCCACCCAATTTGTAACCTTCATGTACACGAAATTCTATTTAGCCGACTGCCATTGACATTTTTCCTGAACCGATTTAAATTCATTCTAAAATATTGGAGGTCGTCTGAATAATCCATCAGAATCCCCAGCAGCATCCGCGTGTTTCCAAGCCGTCTGGACCCCAACGGATCAATATTGCCAGTGGGATTCCCCTCCGGTCTCCCCAGTTGGCCACATCGCGCTGACATTGATTTTTTTACCCCCTTCATCTCGCCACTGCTCCAACCCCACTTGCCACCAATAGTAATATCCAGTGTTCCATCGATCTTCCAGTTTTTCCTCGGGAGCAGGATAATGTCAATGAGCAAATCTCGATATTACACATCAACACATATATTTTCGTTTTTACTTTTTTGTTTGTTGCATACATACGATAGACAGTACATTGTTACACGTTCCAAGATATGATACACTAGAAAAAAAAAACTTTTTTTTTATCCGCTATTACATTTTTTACTGGACGAGTCACTCGTCGGAATCGTCTTATCCTCAATTTCTAGTTATTTATCCTCCTTTTGCATGTTTTTTTTTATTAAAGGTTATAGAAAAACGCTTGCATTGTTCTATGAGAATACTTTTTACCTCGTAATGGAGTTAAGATTCGTATGTTATTAGTTTTTGTATTGAGATTGGAAACAGAGACAATTGTAATGTAATTGGCAATTGTAGTTTTTATGGCTTTCAAACTAATGCAATGAAACGCCGAGGAAGTGAATAATTTATTGAAAATCGCAGACACAATATTTAAAAATCTCTTCCATTGAAACTAAAAAATGGAACATTGAACAATCGGAATCGGTGAAAGACTCCTCGTCCGCTAGGACAAGTTTTCCAGAAATTCAAAAAAAAAAGCCTTTCATTTTATCAAATCAATGTGAGAAAACGTGAAATTTACTCCTCTCGTTTTATTACATCGTAGTACAATTACTGAACCATTCTAGTTTGATGTCACTTACATTATCAATACATATCTAAACGTGTTTTGTTGTTTTCGATTTTTTTTTGTACAAATATATACAAAAGAAAAGATGGGCTCACCCCTCCATACCAGGGTTTATCGTACAGTCATTTATCACTGACTTATCGTTAACTGCAATCACTCTTGCGTTTCGTACAGTTACATTTTTTTTATCACTCGTCTTATCAATATTCGCGCACATTCACTCTTCACGCCAGCATTGAAATAGAAAACCCTGGGCGGCAGCGAAAAATTCTCACTAGTAGTGTTTCAACGAAAAATCCTCAATCTGTTAATGTTTCATTTTTTTCCCCACTGTCTGTGTATTCCCCCCAGCAGACTCACAATTATCTCGTATTTATCACAACGACGTAATTCCTACTGGGAAATTGTCGCCAACCATTTCACATCCAATCATAAAATAATTCCACAGTGTCATTGTCCTGTCTACAACAAAAACACGAGACAATTGAACAAATCGATATTGATCATTTTTCCTCGCGCGATAAAAATCTTGTAATTATTTTTTTGATAAATAAAATCACACGTCAACAAATGGAGAAAAATGAAAGATCAAAACCATTTAGTTTTGTACATTCAAACGCCATCCCTCCATAACCTACGAGGAATCATTTCTCTTCATTTTCTGTCTCCTATTCGATAAATGTCAAATATGTACACATATACACAATGTACAAAATAAATCTGCTCTCCTTTCAGGTAAAATTTCTTCCCTCGTCATTAAATCGAACTTAATAATTCCAGAAAAAAAAAACGTTAGACGTTAAGCAGATGTACGTAAAAAAAATTGAAAAATTGGCTCCGATTGCCCGCAAACTGGAGAGTTAAATCGCCGCTATTATGATATTATTTTTATAAAGTGCCACCTGGTCAAGATGAACACCTTAAAAAATATAATAAATCCCAGATCATAAAAACGCAATTGCAGGCGATCAAGCCCTCATAAAAATCCCCTGATCACGAAATCATCGAAACGGCCTCCGTCAACTGCTCCTCAAGAAAATGTCAACTCAAAATGCAACTAACAAGAAAAGAACCCAAACAAATACAGATTTTGCTTCTCCAACGTTTTTTTTTATAATTTCACTAGCGACTGGGATATTACGAGTCGTGTAGAAATGCCACCGTCTTAAAAATTACCGAAGACTACTGCTCAAAGCCAGTCACAAACAATCTACGACCCCTTAAATTTTTCCAATCAACAAAACTTGTCTGAAAATTCCTCCAAAATCAATTTCACGTCTTCGGTGCTGCTCCTGAGTCCTCCTCTACATTTAATTTTCATGTTAAAATTTTTTTTTTCGTTTTCCAGACCCAATGCTCGGTGGTCCTTCACGGTTATTCCACCAAAACAGAGGTCCCCTTGGATCAAAGTTCGATCCAATTTTTTCTCCCCTCGAGAACGGGACAAGTTATCTCACAAGTTTATGTGATATATAATATTCTTAATTTGAGCCTCAACCAATTGTACAAGTGCTCATTCCCTTAAGTTTCTCGCTCCTTCTTGGCTTTGAGACCAGTTGCAGCGTCCTCGGCGAGGATAGTTGCTATTTCATTCTGCATGAAGGCCCAGGGCACCTGGCTGTCGGCCAGAGGGCACTTTTCACCACTTGGACAGTAGACCTGAAGAAAACAAATGGATAATTGTTTTCTTTTCCTGCATTTTTCATATATTCTTCCTAATGCATGGGCTATTTGTTTCTGAATGAAATATTTATGGCCATGTAATTTCAAAAAATTATTATAATGCTATTTATAATAACAATCAGTTATCATAGCATTTTTTTTCTAATCAACGGATAAACATTAAAGGACTCTCTTGCCGTCGATTAAATTTCCACCAAAAGATCTCATGATAAGTTCAATTTAACATTTTCTTTGAATATCAGTGAAACCTCGAAGATATTGATTGTAGGGGAAGAACGAAAAGATCATGTAACCCAAAATTTAGATAGGTACAGAGAATCGTTTAATATTTCTTTCTCAAGTCCTCAAATTTTCGATATGAATTGATAATAACTAACATTTGCAAATTCCAATTATCTCATTTTATAACTTAGTTGCTAAATTATTTATGTTGATTCGACCAATAGCAAAAAAAAAATTAATGAAATAAAGAACTGATTGATACAGTGGGAGAACTGAATTAGACTCCTTACCTCTGAACCAGCTCCCTGTCTCTTAATACTATCCCGACTGCATGGGAAGCAGAACTTATGATGGGGAACACTAGGGCACTGAACAAAGTGGGTATCCTCAAGACGACCTTGACAAAGGGTGCATTTGAGGGCATTGGACACAGGTTCAGCACCAGCTGGTTGGGCCCCCGTTGCTCCCTCTGAAGATGTCATCACAGTTGTCGATGACACGTGCTGTCTCGCTCCACCACTAGGTCTCCTCCCTGAGCCTGAATAATTACAAAATGTCAATTATTCATTCGATAAATAAGTATCATGTTGAATGAAGTAATTATCAGTAACACCAGTGAATAAATGATGTTGAGATTAATGGAGCCTCACCAGAACCATTAGGACTGTGTTGTGAACCCCTGGAGACACTTCTCTGCTGTGCAGTTGTTGCAGTTGTTGGTGGACTCCTGCTGGTGGGACTGGGATTATTGGATGACTGTGGTACGGGTTCAGGAGACGTAAGGGTATCAGCAACAGACATTAATGCAGCCATAGGTGAGGGACCACCCGTGCCACCCTGATGATGAGTCCCTTGCTGTCCTCCACCCCCTGCCTCCTGTGGTGGTGGAGGTGGCGGTGGTGGACTTGTTCTTGGACGAAGTGGTGATCCACCACCATTTGTAGCCACACTGGTTGGTGCCAGGGGAATTGAGGGGCCTACGTAACCACCTACAATGAAAAGCATCAATTATTTGAGAATATTTATCCAAGATCTGAAGGATGGAAAAATAATTCATTAACGAGGCGGTAAAAGTAGCCAACTTGTACCCAATTCGAGTTTTGTAGAAATATCTACACACTATTGCTCTCAGTGCACTCTAAAAAAAAGATTCTGTGGAATGCTTCACTATTTCTCTTAGATCCCAGAGATAGTATTTCAATAACCTACAGTATAGCTAAGTCGGCATGGCAGATTTTACATTTGCGCTGCTGTTTTTATTTCTTAGCCTTTCAGTGCATGAATTGTCAGTTTGAATATGAATATATTTTCCATAATATTCATGAATAAGGAAAAAGTTGTTTATATGCTTCTACCAAAATCGCTGCCATAATTTTTTTTTGCATCAAAAGAGTTCTTTTCATCTTTCGCTATCAACCAAGAAGCTCTGGAATTTTCCTTCCGAATCAAGAAAATTAATTGGTTGAATATGACGGGATATTCCTAGCGAATCTTAAGATGAGTGAAAGTGTAAAAATCATGAATCACTCAGCCGACGACTACCTCACGAGCTTATAGAAATTCATAACGTCAATTCCAGACGTGTGGACACTTAATCATTTCATACGTGTTGTCTAGGCTCATGAGGGAATGTTAAATATTCGGTTTGATATCCCAACCCATGGATAAATACGACGGTATAATATTTACGTGGTTGTCCATGTGAGTGCCTAAATCACGTTTTGCTATGATCGAGAGAGATGGTCGGAAATTAACAATGCATTGCAGACTAAATCAAAGGTTTTTACGAATTCTCCACGTGGCGTCACTAATCGAAGGTCGACCACTGCCCCATTTGGCATTCATGCCATGTCGTGACGACGCCTCAACCGTTAACGAATGAACAGAGGAAGCATAAAAAATTAATTGATATATTGGGGGAAAAGCCATGACGTATAAAAAAAAAATCGCACACGGAAAAAATTTCGTAGAGAAGCGGCTTGCGGTATTTTCAAATTTTTGGATTTGGGTTTCTTGAAATTGTGGGAAAACTGCAACCGAGAAATTTTACGAATTTAGTAGAGATTTTACGTGAAAACATCCACATCTGACATATTCGTTTGAAAAAATCAGTCTAACAGCTGAATTATCTCAAAAATACAGGTCTACCGTTGAAAGGTCATTTCACAAAACCTAACCACCTTCAAGTTGTTTGGGATTCATTTAAATACAGATTATTTATGAGGACTTGTGTTTCGTCCGATTTCCGTCATGACCAACAAATAAATTTCAATACCGAAAGTTTTTAGATACCTTTAAATTTAATGCAAAAATGGCGTGCTAAATTCAATTGAACCCTCACTAAATCCCCAAATCATTGACCGAATTTCGCCGATTTTCGATAATTTCCTCTGCAGTAATCCCTGTAGACTGCAATTTTCATCAACGGTAGAAATTTCATTTCCATATCACATAACCTGTGGGAAATTCTAATTTCTGTGACTATGTACCTTAAAAACTGCAATAATCTCGGAAATCTCAAAAACCCATTTCGATCTTGCCCAACATTCCTCGGGGGCTTAAAATTCACTAGCCAGCATCCCCCGCGGCCGGGATGAATGAATCCCAGAAAAAATCCCCCGTTAATCCCCTGAAACTTGGGAACCGGTCGAGTGTCAGTCAGTCAGTAGTCCAGTCAACAAGCACCAGTGAAAAAAGGAAAAAAAAATCATAAAATCAGGAGAAAATAAAGTATGGAGACACGCAATCTGCTGGGACATATGACCAGTACTTTTCCATTGCGAATCCGCTACAGATACCTTTTCCTCGCGTGTACAAACAAACTCCCGGACCCACCGAGAGGTGGTGAAACGTCGGAAGGCACACGCCTCATGGCCGCGTGAGGGATGAGGGGCCAACGGGCGGTAGAGGGGGGGCTATAGAATGAAGGGAAACTTTGGTGGGGCGGTAGGTGGGGAAAACACGAGAACGGGCTTAGTCATCGGCCGTTGCGTCTCGCGACTTGTGGCCTTGTTTCGAAAGTATCGAGTGAGTACGTACAGCTCGTACCGATGACGTAGCACAGGTCGGAGCAACGGAGAGAGGCAGAGCATCTGTAGAGGGTGGTGATGAGGGGCGGCTGCGGCGGTAACAGCGGCGGGTGGTGGAGAAGTAAGAGGACAAGGTACATGTATAGGAAACATGCTGGTGCGATAAAACATTATTTCTGCTCGCGGTTCATCCCCCCTCTAGAATTCACAATCCGCCCAATCCCGACACCTAGCGACGCAATTCCGAGGCTGACAAGCGCCATTTTCACTGCCCAATAAACCGCCAATCGGTGGTACAACGACGAAATCATGCGTTTTTCAATTCTTCGTTTCGGCAGATCATTGAATGGAGTGGGGATGTCAATGGACGTGACATTGAATAAATGTGATTTTAATTGACATATTTGATCGGTTCCGCGTCAAATACAATATTTTGTAAATCTGTTGTTTTATAGAGAGATACCCTGAGAGTTGTTGTATTTGGAGTATCATAATATTGGATATTTGGTTGGATGTTTGGGGATGGTAGATTTTGTTTGAATAGAGAAAGCAGTCCTTGGTATTCAGGAACTAATGGGCTTCAAAGACTTATAAAGAATTCGCTTGGATAATGGGTATTTCTCAGAATTTTTCTAGAATTCGCGGAACTTGGAATTTTCTAGAATACTTCTTAAAAAACTACAGAATTTTCTGGAATCATCCCCTTGAAATCGTCGAGACTCGAAATCGCATTAATTAAAAGCTTAGAAGTAAGCGAAACAACTTGCAAAAGGATTAACGGATATTTGTTGATTCAGCCCGAGGCTTTTTTTTCCAAAGGATGAGTCACCTCTGGAATAAATGCGAAACACGTGATTTCTTTGTGAATATAATTTTCTAGATTCCATTGCATATTTTTTCGCTGAGCTTTTATTAGCTAGTTACGAGCAAAACAAATATTTCGTAACTTGGCAGTTTTTGGTGTTAATCCACGTCGCCGAGTGATTTCTTTATTTCTGTTACGTCACAGTTGCATGCAATATGTAGAACTTTACGAAGACATGCTGATAACGCGGTGGTTACGAGATACCAAGAGACACGTGCAATGCCCGTGAATAACATATCTCTGAGTGGTCTTTTTGTCTCGTGTATCAGTTTTTCCCGTTATCTCTCTTGCACACGCTGATAAATCCGTTGAATCTGTATTTGTCTGAAACATTCGCGATGATGGAATTCATTATAAATTCTACGCGTGTTTCTGCATAATCTCGGCCGGGAGAAACTTGGATGACGAATAGAAAGAGATGGGGCATAACCAACGGGAGGAAATACGGTTTTTGCGTAGTAGAAATGAAACTCGACGAGTAGAGGTAATATTAAAGATACCGAGGTGTGGACTTATCGTGGCACTCTTTTTTATTCCGGGAGTTTTATTTCAGTCGCCTCGTATCCTTGCCAGTTTCTCGAAGGAGTCTATTTTCGACCGGAAACATGCACGAAAATCCAAACTCTCTTCCCTTTTTCTAACCGTCTCTTGTTGTTTCTGAGCCGCAAGTAATGATCATAAACTGTAAAATCATCAAGAAGTCGAGGTTTATCCATGATTTATTCCCCAGGCAAAAGAGCTGGGGGTGGATCTGGTAATAATGGAGGTAACGGCGGTTTGTCGATCGACCTGGAAACCGTGCCCTTTGGGGATCCCTTTCTATCCTTTTGTTAATGTCCACCCCAAGTAACGGGTTCTGTCCCTAGATTCTACCCCGTCGGATTTTATGCCGTTGAAAAGGTCGGGAGTTAAAGTTCCTATGGGAAATAGTTTGTTGGTGAATGACATTGGGATTATTTCCAGCGTTGTTTGATAACAACTTGAATTCTCCCCAGTAAACACTGAAAATCAGGCCTCTTGACGGCAAATAAGTTTGACGAAATTTTTCAAACTTCCGACCATTTTCAAAAACTGAGTCTTCCATATTCAAATAAAATTTTAGAATTTATTTGGTTGATATTAAACATAGAAGACTAACTTCTCGCATGTTAAAACAAAAATTAGATATTCACTTGCAAAATATTTTCAAAATAAGAATTTCTTCACGAAAACTCTAACTGATGAAATAGAACATTATTCGAATGAAGGTGACATCTTTGATTTCTCATTTGAGCAGAATTGATTTTTAAAAATACTTGGGGTTTTGAGGAAAAATCCTTAACATCCTTCGAGCTGAGGCTGCACGTGTCAACAGAAAGTGTCGAATAGACGAGGGTAAATGACAAAAAATATTCATAACACTGGTTTATGCACAGAAATAACCAGAACTAGATCGATCGTACCACACGTGTAGGAGGAAAATTAATAAACTGGATAAACCAGAGCCCAATGAAAGGCCAAATCGATTCCACTTATCGATAATTCCAGATATCGCCCAAAACTCGGATAATAATAAACCTTCGACGAATAGAATAGGGGAGAATAGGGAGTAGCACTGACACCGACCATACCTGAAGTGAGATGTGGAAGAAAGACAGACTACTTCTGAGAGATTCATATCGAGAAGACAACGGAACTCATTCATTGCTCTAAATATACCGCTCGTGACGTTACAAGACGTCACACACTGTTGTTTTTCCCCCGGATACCATTAGTCGAAGTGGCAATCGAATAAAATTCTCTAGTATTATAATATAGTTCGTACCTCATGAATCATGAGAAATCATGAAACGTGTAATATGAGCTAAATATTCGACATTATTCGGAATCACCGGTTCATCTCAGAAACAGTAGACTAAAGAGAAATATGATTAGACTTTTTTTTATAGCTAATTAAATTTAAAAGATAAAGCCCTTGAGACCCCCTCCCCCGCCCTTCAAAATGAAATCAGAAGCTAAAAATTAAAGAGTACCCAGTCGATATAGCTAGATTTTCGAGGAAAATATTTAAATCCAAGGCAGATAACAAAATAACAAAATTTCTGAGTAGTGTTTTGAATGTCAATTGAATGAAAAACCGTCTCACATGATGCATATGATTGAGATACCTAATTCCATCTCTCATTCGATCACGATAAACCACTTCTCTTCGCCTAAAGACTGAACTGACCTATCCCAGGGACTCACCTAAAATCCCGTTAAAAAAAAAGAAAAGAGCGAATCACTCACCATTGGGTTTAAAGGTGGTAGCAGTCTCGAAGCTGGGTGCCCTGACAGGATGTTTATCCTTGCTCCTGTCCTGAACATAACTAACAGCAAGACTGACAGCAGGCAAGGAGTCGCCCCTAGTCAAGGGTGGCCTACTGGGATGCTGTTCATCCATAGAGAATTTCTTCTCAGGATGTTCATCCTCATCAATTGTCGATATTCCACGTTTGAGCGGCGTTCCTCTGGTATGATTCAAGGTAATATGGTGTGCAGCAGCAATTTGTGCATTAGTTAACCTTACATTGGTATTCCTAATGCCATTATGCATCTCGTGCTTGACCATCTCGTGCTTAACCAAGTCGTGCTTAACAATATCGTGTGGTTCGTCGTGCTGTCTAGCCGCTGCTGCCAATTGTTGCTGTGCCTGTTGTCTCGTTGACGAATTAAATTCCGTTATCGAGTTACGATGATGTAGTTGCGAGTAATTAGCGATATTGTGATGCCTAGAGTGAGTCTGTCCGGCATTCTGTATTGGTAGTACATCGATATTAGTACCACCATTGTGCTCAGAATGTCCCGTTGCTCTGTATCCCTTGGAAGCCGATGGCCTAGAGTCCTGAAAGCCATGGGCCTTCTTCAGCTGTTTCGCCGACTCCAGTACAATATCTATCCTGTCAGCCCCCTCGTAATTCACACAGCCACGACAAACTGGCTCTGAAAAATCCATTATAATGGCCCACGGCATGCGCGGCAAATCGCACAAATAACAGTGAGTGCGTTTTCCCAGCATCTTGATATAAACACGATTAAGCCTCACTACACAGCACAACACAACACTGTTCACTCTCAATCGGCCCTCAATACTGTTTCAATCACAAACACAAGGACACGATTATATCCTCTATCGCTTCATCGCAGATTAAAATCGACGATCGAGTTGACGATCGGTTCAACTGAGACCAAAGGAGACGCACTGATTTTATTCGCTTTTCTCCTTTTTATTTACTCCGTGAGGCACGACACGAGCACGAAAAAACAAACCGCTTCCCGCTGAAGGCGGTGTGTCGGCGAAGGGTGGGGTCACAGTAAAATCGGCAATTACGAGGATCAATGAGTGAATTGGCAAGTGGACAAAATAATAATAACTTTGGTTATCACTTCAATTGTTTGGAGATACTTTGTGCATCGGACTGCGATGGCGGCCAAGTATTGGAGGCTTTTTTTCTTATTTAATTTTATATCTTTTGTTTAAAGGCAAAAGCGAATGTGGGAAAAAGGACGAGCGATGACGAACGCGGAACGCTCGAGAATGCGGATTGCGGCGGTAAGACTGGCTTAGGGGGCACGGGCTACGGGGTATCCGTGGAGAGCCCCTTCCCTCTTTAGCCCCGGCGTAACGTCGGGACTCGGATGTATAACGTTCAGCAAAATGAGGGGCCAATGGGCGTTCGTGGCGTCACAATGTGCGACGTCACATTTTCACTAGGCGCATGCGCAACGATGGAGAACCAGTCTGTTAATATAGGTGGTGGTTCCTTCCCTTTATATCGCCGCCGCGTGCATGATATTATATTATATTATATATTATATTATATATATATAATATAATATATATGTGTATGAGAGAAAAGGGAAAAAAAGTCCGACGGTCTATGCCCCTACAGTTCCACTTTGAAAACTACATATTTATCACACTAATTGCTATTCTTCACACATTAAAACAAATAACTTATTGAAACGTATTTCTTTAGGGCAATCCTTTTCACATACTCCAAACTCCCATTTGAATTACACATTACATGTTAAACAATTTTATTATTAACCTGTATATAACCTTGGTGAAATCCCATTCATAGTTTTTCAGATTTTCAAAATTTTTCAAATTCTGCATTTTTGCCGATCAAATCATTTGGGATCATTCAAACTGTTCATAACTGTTACTGAAATTCATTCAAGGCCAGTTATTGCATGATAGTCTCGTAGTTCAATGTAATTCTCATGCTTGAAAAGGGATTTGCAACACTTGGCAATGCCTGATCTGATGTTTTATTATGGTAAGAATATCAAAAAGATGTTAGGATTATCATGTTCTTGGCACAAACATATTTTTTTTTCAGTGTCCGTGATGAGGAATTTTATGCTGATAGAAAAATATCTTAATTTGGATAAAGTAGAATTTTAGAATTTCATTTCATCAAAAACAGATACTGCGCAACAAGTTATTTACTGATCTCACACAAAAATCATTCGTTACTCGAACAATTGCAGTTTTACAAAAAATGACGTCAAGGCGTCAAGGCTGGATAACCAATCCAGCCAAATCTTTAGACATAATTTTTTAAGTTTGAAATTATTGTAAGCACTCACCGGACATGGGAGAAAAACACAGTGATTACGAACTGGGAATGTCTTGTTCATTTGGTTAGCCAAAGTTTATACACTACTGATTTATTCATAAGAACTAAACATTTCCCCACTACTACACCAAAAAGGTCCAGTAATCTTATTATTAGGCATAAGGCCCATTTATACGTCTGATAGGCATAAAAACCAGCACACATTAATACCTGCGTAATAACGATAAACAGTCATCGAAACCCAGTAAAGAAAAGTGCTGTTTTTAAAATTCGTGCCATAAATGTTCTGCTATTCTGTTCTTTTTTTGAATGACCTCATTTTTCAACCAGAGCTTTTCGCCACGTTGTGAGGGAAATTTCAAAGATTTTTAGGATTTAAATGATGGAGGAGTAATTTCACATGAAAAATTTTCATTTATTCGATCATTGCAGATATTCGCATACTGCGTAACTCTCTAATGAAATTTTCCGTGTTTTTTTTTGTAATCACAATAGTTGGCAATTTTTAGTTAAACAATGAATACAACTCACAAGAATAAAATCCCTAATTTATTCTCTAAATCAAATCCTACACCGATTTCTTCGAAATTTCAATCTCTCCTTCAACTCAGGGTCGGGCGATTCGTAAAAAATGGCTTAACATGGACCTCTAAAAACAATCATTAAATCCGAGAATTTATGAAGGCTATCTACCAAGCAATGCACTATGAAATATATTCCGATAAATACCAAAACGACTGTTAAAATCCTTATCGTGGTACCACGCGCATGATAATACCCAGGTAACCCACCTATTGACGTATCGGATTTTTTATCTCCCTCTCTCTACTCAACTATTATTACAATCATAAGCATGGGGCACCCAACAGACGACACTTTGTACCTCGTCGGCTCGATTTCACTATGTTCAGTCTCTCGTATGATTTTAATACGCGTTACGCAATGTATTTACAATCCAGTCGCCAGTCGTTGACCGCCTTACTCCAGGGTGCACGTTTTTTTTTACTCATTCACGCCTTTTATTTCGTTCCGGAGAAGTGATTTCCCTCCGTCTCAGATATTAATTCGATAAATTTCATTCTGTGCACTGACATCACGATCTGACATCATCACGAACACGAGTCGGTAACGTGAGTTTATGTACGAAGGGAGATTACTCCTGATAAATTGCGATGCGATAATTCTCCGCGAATCATCCTTCCACAAATTTGTTATCACCTCCAGACGTAAATAAATCGTAAACGTCGCAATTGTAGCGACCCCATACCCAAAAACCCTATTAAACCATCGATAGCGTATACAGAGGACAACGCTACTCTCCAAGTAATATCCATTCAACCCGATATTTTATTCAAAATACTCAACTCCCCCCACCGCCATTTATTTCCGTCTAGTGGATGAAAATCTACACGACCTTGAACCCATTACACTGCTATGATATGAAAAATAATTGGCTCGAATTATTTCAATTCCCTGCGGAAACCACGATATTGTCCGCTTGTTGACGATAACTCTGTTATTCACGCCAATGGGAAAAAAAATTTAGAGTATTTATTCGTTCGTTCCTATCCAACGCGAACTTCGAGATGCCCCATGGTACCAACCTGTGTCTCTGATTTTTGCTATAACTCGTACTTCTGTCTTTGCTGATTTTCAAATATATAATGAATAGCAAAGCTACTCTCACATAAATACTCTGCCTTTTTCAGTTGTCACCGAAAAATCGCGAATTTTTCTTGGAAATTACGTTGAATAAAAAGGATGAAACTTCAAGTTTTCCGGGGAATTTCATACGTTTTAATTATTCAGCAATAAAAAAATCAAATTCCACCATATCCGTTAATTTTTTACAGGTAAAGTGAAAAACAATTTTTACTGAATTATTAAAACGAACTACAAAGTAATTTCATCCACGGGTTTTTCCCCGGCTTCCTTTAATTCCCCAGTCTCATCTGGTCGATGAGGTCGGAAAAACCCCCAAAAAATCCAAGATTCAATTCCTCGAATCCGTCCTATTATTAAAAATAAATAAATAAATAAATAAATAAAAAACACAACTCTCGATGTTGCACGCATCTCATAATTAAAACTGGCGTAACAAGCCTGTGTGTTTCGCCATCTCTCCCTACATTCGCGTATTAAATCTCCAAAGCCACGCAACTCGCAAAGATATGCGGTGATTAACTGGCCATAAAAACCCAGAAAAAAAACCTCCGCCAGTGGAAAATTTAGAACGTATTAATAGACAAACCGCGACGTTTTATCGGTTCATTGAGAACTGCTGCGTTCCCATTAATAACTCGATTGCATAAATATTTTTGTTATTAAATATTCTGTTATCAGAACGAGGAAAAAGCTGAGACGGTCGTTTACAAGACGATAATGTAATCCCATGAATTCCCACAATGTATTTGAAGAGAAAAAAAACTCGGTATTGAAATGATGATTTTTTTTGCCCTCGAGTATAAGTCACGCTCTGTCGATGGAAACCGGGCTGCCAGTGCCTACGTGCCTTGGTTTATCACGTTGTGACGTCACCAGGGAGAGAGACAACGACTTTACACTACTGGTATAGCGAGTCCATAGTACCTGGCAACGTTGCACATACAACGTTGCCAACACTACGAATTTTGCAGGGTGCATACATATATATATATATGCTATACAAAATTATTTGCCAAGCTGATTCTCCAATGCCATCAGCCCATGCGCCGGAAGTTGGGCCATTTGTTTTCCACAGCACTGAACTGCAGTCGTCATAACAATACAACAATCATCTAAGGTGGCACACATTAATCTAGTTTTCCAACGGTTAATCTATCCAATACCTGTTATTTTCCATCATATGGATATTTTGCCGTGACGTCATTGCGCTAAATAAAAACAAAAAAAGTGGCGTCCCAGAAGAGCTCTTGCGCTTCACAGAGAAAATCAATCCGGTTCATCGTATACTAACCTTCCAACGAAAAAGCGTCGCCGACACGGTACTAACCTCCATGCCAAACATTGACTAGTCGTACACAGCTTCGACCCCCCCCCCCCCCCCATGTGCGACTAAGCGACTCGATCTCCGTCGCTTTTTTCCGGTCTGTATTCTCTCTCTCTTCTGGTACACCGCGCGCAAGAATCCGTTGCGATATTGACCCGCGAAAAGGTTGGCTTAGGTTATTTCTGCAGAGGTTCTTGTAACCCTTTTTCCGTCATCATCATTTTTTTGATCAGTTTCACATGTAGAATTCCACATTCCATGATATCGCAAACGAAAGGAAGAATTCATCACGCTTCCGCGATCAAATCGTTTTAAACAACCCTCATCAATCGGAGAGATTTCTTGAAGATAATTCCATATTTGCGTCAATTGAGCTGTTTACAAGAGCTTTGGCTTGAATTGCATTTATGATTATGACATAGCCAATATATCACATCACACTGGATAAAATAATAGAATAGTCCTTTGGTTTTTGGAATCTTCTAACTGCTCTGCTCAGTTTTTTATTGCAAGATAGTTAATTTCAAGTGTACATCTCGGTTCAATCATTACATTCTGGCATTGAATTCCAGATTCATCTGAACTGTGAGGAATTTCTTGAATTTTTCTAAAATTTGACGAAGTTTGGCTTGTAAGAGCCCCGAAATTCCTGGAACTTTTCCTGTCAAATACAATCAAGCGTGCAATGAAAAGTCTTTTCCAGAAACTAAATAATAAATTGTCCCCCACTGTATGAATGAAATATTAGAAAAATCGCACAACTACCTAAAAAGTTTTCAAATGCCTCTCCAATTGTGGGGTGCCATGATCGCATTTAAATTTCGCGCGGCAAATATAAGAATCCGCAAAAGCGCCATTTAAATGAGCCATCTAACCCGCGCCATTATTGCTCCCGCGGAGATTACGCCGATTGAGCCAACAGTATTATCTCCCGAGAATACCCAACATGTGCGTATAAGCCGACGTTGTCGACAAAAATACACACCCATGATTACACAATTACGCAACCATCAGCCTAACGCACCGCAGCACAATCCGCCAATCTCTCAAAAATAAAATTGAAAAAAAAATGAAAATCCCTAACCACCCAACCTATCCCAATGTTATTCACGAGCAA